ATGCTAAATAAGATCCTGGTTTTCCAGATGCAGATTATTACAACATTATAAATAGAATTAGTTATGAATGCGCTTCATGACACCATAACTAGGACATACTGCAGCATATATGTACAATATTTGAAAATGATTTTCATGTTTGTATGTCTTAGTAACTACACCCAGGGTAACTACTGGGTTTGATGGGAGTTGAGAGACATGGAGATGATTTAGGAGGGAAGCTAGTCAGGCAGTCAAACACCACACTTTATAAAACTCCAAATTGTAGCTTCACTGTCCCCCCATGAATGTGCTGTCTAATATGATAGCCACTAGCCACATGTGGGTATTTAAATTTAGGTTGATAAATGAAATAAATGCTTAAAAGTTCAAATATTCAATAGCCACATGTGGCTAATGACTACCATATTGGTTAGCACAGATATAGGACATTTTTATCAATGTAGAAAGTTATATTAGAAAACTATTCAGAAGCTAAGGTTCAAATTTAGGGTAAAGATAAGAAGAAGTAAATTATTTGGCAGTCTATTTCTGAATTCTTATACCCATAATGGAAATAATGCAATGTTGGCAAGAAAATATGAGAGAAGGAAATCACAGATATTCAGTATGTTTTTACTTGCATTGATAACCTTTTCTGAATACTTACTAATACACTTTAATTAATTTGCACCCCAATGCACATAGTCAATGGGGTGTACATCTTGTTTTATGAACATCGTATAGCAGAGGAGACTGAAATATAGATTTTAAGTACATTTACCAATCACAGCATGAAGGGAAATATAGCTGAATTTGAACTCAGGTAATTGGACTCCAGAGCCCTACCTGGCAACTAATCTGAAAAGCAGTGGATTGAATTAGTAATAACAACCTTTAGAAGAAAATTTAATTTTTTTCTATTTATTGTCACCCATCTTGGTTGTTTCCTGACGGGAATGGGAAGGGCCCTTTTGGAATGCATAACTGTTCTCTTATAGGTCAATCAACCAATCTATCAGTATTTTAGAAGCTATAAGTATGTATGTTGGATTAATCTTGTTGAGAGATAAAATCAGTAGAGTCTTGATGTTAGAAATTTTATTGTTCATCCTGTTGACTGCTTACACACAATCCCAATAGCTTATTGGTAGTAACTTCTCATTTTGCTAACACAAAATATTGAATCCTACACTTTGGACACTATTGTACAATATAGCATGACTCTTGCTAGTGAGTGAGTGAGACTAAATTTCTGTCCAACTTAGGTTCAGCTTGACTGTTTTCTATTCATTATTCATATTCAGTAACTTTCAGAAAAGGTTTGAAGGTATTAAATTTTTCAGTTACACTTTTCTGAATTTCTGGAAGGCGTTTTATGCATGGTTATCCCATTAACTTAGTGAATTTTGAAGGCCTGGGAACATGTCCCTTGGGGATGTAAAACTTCTAATACAGAGTATTTGGTCCTGTTCTCAAGTCGATTATGATCTAGTTTGAGGAGGCAGTCTAGCATTCATTCATTCATTCATCAATTCGTTTTTGAGAACATAATATTGTCTAAAAAAACTTTCCTGAGTAAACGAAGATAATATATAATTTAAATGTTGTAGTTATTTGAAGAATTGAGTGGTTAATACTGCTCAATATGCTCAATAAAACTAATATGGAAAACATATCAGGTGAACTATTGAAGGTTCTCTTTTAAATTCCTGATGAGCAGAGATCCTTATTTCTAGTTATATGTGATGGACTTGATAGGACTAATGAGTGTGACTTTAAAAAATCCTCAAACAAAATGTTTTATATGGATGAAAATTGGAAGCTTCTATTCACACTGTTTACTACTTTCCAGTCTTCAGCTGGCATGGGAACACTCAATTTAACAGCTCTTCCTCAGAAGCAGACACCCCATAAATTACCTAAATGCCAAGTAGTTAGATCAGGGTTACTGCTAAATTCTTCTTCACTGGGAATTCCCAAGTTTTTCAGTATCAATAGCCAGCATCATTTTATTTGTCTTAAAATGACTTTCCCATCTTCCAGTACGATTGCATTGAATTTTAAGTAAATAGTGAGATTCTGGCATATGATAGGTACATGACTTTGTAAAGGGAAAATAAATGCTATTTTCATTTACACGCTTAGTGGTTGTCCTTGTAAATTCTTCAAGAGTGGGCTGAATGATATTTGAGGGCTTGTCACTTGTGCCTGTTCTTTCAAAATGTACCCCTTGGTGGATTAAGTGTCAAATCAATCTCTTGCTTCTTCAGTGCAAAATGGATATTTTGTTCCTTTTTGCCACATAGATCATGTACCTCATGTCATTTAGCAAGTCTGTAGCTATGTGACTTATTTTATACTTCCTAGATTACAATTTTTACCTGCAAACTCATATTGGTTTGAAGTGGTTTCACATGTAGTTTTTCCTGCCCACCAGGGATACAGGTGGTAGATCTTAAAGTGACTCATTGTTTGGATTTAATTATGTTCTTTTCCTAAACATAGTTTTTGCCTTATTCGTGTCTTTAAAAAGCTTTACCATCATCTCTTCGAGATTTTATTCAGCAGATTTTAAAAAAATATGTTTTGGCTGACATAACTTGCCTACTACTTTGATTTTTTTTACTTTGGTAGTATTGATAAAACATAAAAGACACTAAAAATCCTATTACTTGTTTTGGAATTATATAAAATAAGTAAATGTTCCTTGATACATCAATTCCTTTCCTCAAAGGCAGTTACTATCAATTAGGCAGGTCCTTCTTGAATTATTTCTAAATCTACATTCTATAACTATGTAAATATTTATATATGTATCACAATATATTTACATGCAATTTAACTTTATATATGGCCAATTATATTGCATGTATATACACACACACTAATGTGTACACATGTATATACATCATAAAATGATACATTATGGAACAAATATCTGTTTGCAAATTTGTTTCTGCTTAAGAGTATATTCTGAACATATTTCTGGTTCAATACATGTACATATGTTGTACTTTTATGATTATATAGAGTTTCATTGTATTTATATATTATATGCCATTCCACTAGCTCTCTTGATGTGTTTTTGTTTTTTTCCTATTCAATCAGTGTTGCAACAAATATACTTGTACATATATTTTAATCATGAATGCTATTTTATGTGTAGAATATATTCTTAGAAGTGAATTGCTAGACTTAAGGAATTTATATTTTAATTTCAATACATGCTAATTAATGCTTATGAATACGTTACAAGGGAGACATTATACTACACTCTTTCTGATTGTTTTTATAACTCATCTAGGAAAGCATTCTTTTGAAAGCCATTACTTGATATCTGGGCAAAATCATTTAAGGAAATATTGTTATATAGGTAACCCTATATATGGTTTATATAGCTATAGTGCTTGAAGTATATATCTGTGTATTTATGCAGAAACTTTGATTGCATCTATCCTAAATCAAATTCAAGTTGCAACAAAGAGATGGATCTTTGAGATTAGACAGATATGCATTTTGAGTGATGTAGTAACTGAATGTTTTAAGTTGTTATATATAATCAAAAAATCCCTGGAACTCTAGTAAGAACTCTAGTAAGAGTTGCATGTTGGCAGGACTTCACCAATCCACCTTAGCCACTATTTTATTTTTTTATAACCATCCTTGTAAATGAGTTCAACAATCAACAATATTTTGGTTGTATTTAAGGGTTCACTGTGAATATAAGAAAGATTTTATAAATTTAAATCACAGAGTGCTTCTTCTTTGATTTTTTTTGCTTGTTGAGGCAAAGTCCTATGTAGCCCAGCTCACCCAAAGGCATGGCTCATTCTTTCACATCATAAAGAATTACATTCTTTAGTTTCATGGAATGTCATGGAAATAAGTTATGTTCTATTAAAGAAAAAAGATAACACTTGGTATGGTTCCAAGGGAGACTTCCTGCTTAAAATTTTACGAGATGGTTAACAGAAAACTCTATCCAGTTTCACCCCCACCCTTATCTTAAGCACTTTCTTATCCCAGAATAGAAATGATGCAGAAAGTAAACAATGTATTTCAAGGTCAGATAGCAGAGTTCAGACCAGAATTATGTTTGTATTATATGCTATTGCTATATCCTGTGGTTTAAAAGAAAATAGTCTGGAAAAAAGTCTGTAGAATGTTAGATTTTTTGATAGAACATCTCACTCTGTCACCTAAGTTGGAGTGCGGTGGCATGATCAAGGTTCACTGCAGCCTCAACTTCCTGGGCTCAGGCAATTCTCCTGCCTCAGCTCCCTGAGCAGCTGGGACTACAGGTGCACACAATATCTGGCTAATTTTTATTTGTAGAGATAGGATATACTATGTTGCCCAGGTTAGTTGCAAACTCCTGGACTCCAATCTTCCTGCCTCGGCCTCCCAAAGTGCTGGGATTACAGGCATGAGCCACCACACACAACAAATGTTATCATTACATTATTTTTAGCATTTCCCTTTCTTGGTATTGATGATTGAGACTTGTGATGTTAAATAATTCCGCTGCTCTCTTTTGACTTTATAATACTTGTGTAATTTTTGCAGTATGTGTTTATACCTGTAAGAATGCAGGTGTATATATGTTATATGTATATCATATTCATATAATATATTTGTGTTTCTCCCATTCCTCTTTCACCAATGAGAAATACATTCATAAGTACTTTGTGAAAAATACTGATAGAATGCTTAGATGAAAGGGAAGGCCATAAAAATTATAGAAGAGAAAGAGAAGCGGCAGCCCGAGCCAAGAAAAATACTTAACTATCTTTCCTCCTAGGTACGAAAAAGAAAAGGATATGTGCTTGCAGGAACACATTTTCAGTCCCTTACTGCCAGGTTAATTGCATAGCATTATATTTCCTTTCTAGGGTTCTTCACAAGCCTATTTATGGGCATGAGGTCATTCCAAAGCATTTTGTTGAAAACATGTTTTTAAAACATCATTGTGCTAACTTTGACAGATTTCTCCTAGAATGAATTTCTTTATTTTTCAGAATCTACCATTGAAGAAGATCCCATGCAAAGCCAATGCACCCTCGGGCTCCTTTTTTGCCCGAGACAATACAGCAAATTTCTTATCCTGGTGCCGAGATTTAGGGGTGGATGAAACATGTCTATTTGAATCGGAAGGTTTGGGTATGTATTTCCTTCAGAATTTTAGTTGATAAGATACTCAAGTTATCTTTTGTCTTTGTCAGTATAGCCATCAAAAAGTTTTCTGTATGATGTCATTTTGCAGATTATCAGCTTAAAAAGTCTGAGTTTGTTGAAAACTTGCAGGTTTGCTGCTAACTTGATACTTTGAAAATAGAAAAATGAATATGCCCTCTTACTATTGGTTACCTCATGGATACAAGAATAGAAACAGAAGTAGCACAATTCTTTCCAAGCTAAATATAAGGGCCATTAGTGTAAAACTGTGGGTATTTGGAAAACACAGGGCCAAATTTTACCCCCAGACTTTGATCTGGATTAAAGGGTAGCTGTGCATGTTCTAGCCATAGAGAGCACTCTTGTCTGTTCACCTCTACAGCAGTATGGAAACACTATTGCCCATAAGCTCTACCTTTATTGAAACTACAGATTATTAGTTCATTTATTTATTTTTTAGTGAGTTAAAAATCAGGCAAGAAAACAAGAGATTGATATCATCAAAGATGTTGAATTAAAAGACAGATACCTTAGTACCTACACCTACTGAGATAACTGTCTAGATTTCTGTAGTTGTGTTCTGATTGGATTTTGGCAAAGTCACTTCCAAATCATAGAATGAGCTTATTTCTTTGGAAGAAAACATATATTGGAGCATTCAGTGTTTCAATACCACTCCATACACTAGGATAAAATGTTGAAACTTTCCATGTAGCCTCCACCACAGTACAACTCGAATATGTAAAATAATAGAACTAAAGGCTCATTTTTGCAAAATCCAACTAAGTTGAGAAAGGAGACATCTAGAGAAAAAACCTTTGCTTTCTTTTTGCCTGAAACCTTAAAAAATCGACTTAATAGGTCATACAATACCAAATATTAATATCAAAGTAAGCTGAGCATCCTTCAGGGAGAACAAGTATACAGATTACCTTCCAAACAGCCAAAATGCCTATTGCCCCTAGGCCCCATTCCCATGCGTAACCTAGGAAATTTATGGAAACAGCTGAAATCTTACTCATTTTATCTGCTTAAGGAAATCTGTATTTGTTCTCAGAGGAGTTGGTGTGATATGGCAAAGAAATACCATCAAGTTTCTGAAAATTCTCTTAGCAAAGATGGGAACAGCATAAATTTAGCCTGGGGGAATATTCTAGACCTGAATTTAAAAAAAGGGAACAGAATAATCTCACAGTAGTCTGCTGTATACAATAGTGTGCTCATGAAATGCTCAGTAAATAAATCAGCTTTTGATTATTATTACCATTTTCTCATATCAAAGTAAAAAAATTTGGTGGAAAATGTGTGTGTACATAGATAATACCTGTTTTTCAGTCCTGTGGTTAATTTACAGATCAATTTTAACTTTCAGGTTTGTAGGAAACCATGTGAGTGGAGGATTATAGGAAGGGGGTATAGAAGAATTATTTGCACAATTAAATAAAATCACTTACAAGATCTGGTAAATGTTAAGATCTTGTAAAAATACATAGCCATAAAATCAAATCTTAGTAACAAGTAGTACACTCTGCATGTGTGGACAATTAACATCACGATTTAAAATTCTACAGTGCCTCTGAATTGCCAAAGAACAATCACATGGAGAACTATCGTTAATTTGCTAGTCTATTCATTGTACAATTTTCCATTAAAGAAGTATTTTCTCAGTGATTACTATAGGTGAAATTGGTTAATAAAATCTATGAATGTAAATATGGTCTTGTCTTATTTTCTCATTGTCCATGACTTCTTTTGTTATTCGAACTAATAAAATTTTCCTGTGGACACCGAAAAGAATCCATCTAATATTAAATCCTCTCTGCTAGAAATAGCACTATAGGTGAAGGTTCTCATGGATATTTACTTTGATGGCTTTTAAAAACCCCATTGAAATAATAATACATTTTACCCTAAAATTATAAAGTTTAAAGCAACTTATATAATGACCCTGGTACATAAATGCATATTCTGTAGCAAACAAAATTATGTCAGGAAGAACTTTTAGATGCCCTACTTCTTCAGTCTGTTTGAAAAAATATATTCTGACATTATAAAAAGTCCGTAATTTATATTATGTATATATAATTGTACAAAAATTTTTGTACAATTTTTAAAGGTTATAAAAATTTAAAAATCATTTCTAAACTTATCAGTACCAAGTTAAATTAATTAGTTAGGTTTTCCAGTTGCTGCTCAATGAAAAGATACATTTTCAATTTCTCCTGCTCAGAATAGAACCCAAAGTGATATATAATAGGCTCTAAGGATGTAATAGAAGGGGGTCAATATTATGGCATTGACTTTAGGATTAGTCAGAGAAAGGAAACAGCTGTGCTCATAGATGTTCATGATAATCAGGAGGAAGCACAATAAGAAATTCCATTTCCACAAGTGGAACCCTTTCTCCTTGTTTTCATCATTATTATTATTATTATTATTATTATTATTATTCATTGTGGATGAGGAAGAGATTGAGCCGCTGCTGATGACTTTGGACTCTACTTGCAGAACTGACTTTCTTGCAACAATAACACTGTGTCCTCTGCTTGATGTCTTTTCACACTTCACTTTTGAAAGGAAATTTAGGGCAAGGCTTTTTTTTTTTTTTTTTTTTTTTTTTTTTACCTCAAGATTTCATTTCAGTGGCACAGAAGATGAAGCACATCCTTTGTGTCCTAGTGTTTTGAACAGCAAATAAAATGAAAAGATGCTCTGATGAACGGGAAAAAAAATGTGTTTGAATGATAAAGTAGATCACTGGAGAGTGCGTATGAAGAGGCTTCTGTGTTTAGCTGTTCAAAGGTCTTTGCCTGCATAAAGCATCCTTATCTTTGTGGCAACTGATATGTTACCCTCTGTTGCAGTGCTTTTTTGTACAAGTATTTGTTAGAGGATCTTGATTCACAACTCACTGTTCTCTTTTCACAACAGCTAATGACAAGAAACCTCAGTGGGTGAGGGAAGGTGTGCAATGGATGAACTGGGGTGAATGGAGAGCAACTAATTCCATATGTTTATGTCATGCTTCTTGTCTTTTTTATGCTTGGCAGGTAACTTCCTATGCCACATACAGGGTTTAACCTGCAATTTATACTCTGTGGCATTCTTTAGAGATAATTTTTCCTCTGTAGAATGTCCGTTCTTAGATCATATGTTCGCTACATCCTGAACTGTTTCAGAAATAAACCTATAGAAAAGTGGACATGAAGAACCTATTAGCAAAAGACTTACAAAAATCCAATTAAGATATTAAAATGTTGGACACTTTAGTAATAAGGTAGATGTGAATAAAAGCTATGAAAAAATAGCTAAATTAAGAAAATTATATAGTTAGTATTGGTAAGTATATATTATATCAGAATCTTCCATACATTGCTGAAGAAAATTGGAAATTGGCATGCTTTCTTTGGAAGGCAATTTGATATTATATATCAAAGACCTCAGAAATATTTATACACTTTGATTAAGTTCTTTTGCTTCCAAAAATGTATTAAAAGGCAATTAGTAGAGATAGGAACCAGAATGTCTACTGAAACATTAACAAAAAATAGCTGGAACCCATGATATTTGGTAGCAGCTTAAACAAATTGTAGTCATCCATAGATACCATCCAAAGATAATATTCTTGAAACTATTTAAGGATATGGGAAATATGATATATGATTAACATGAGGTCACCCATTTGTGTCTATATGTAACAATAAAATTTAATATTCAGACTTTGAAAGAAAAATAAATAGTAATTAGGTTGTAAATTATATCATTTTCTTTAATTATCTATTAACAAACAAACTTAAGATAGTGAACAATTATGGCATGTAATCTGAAACATGAACAATTGATTTATATTATGCAATTGGACCAATTAGCCTAGAGATTTATTGACATAAAATTTTATACATCAGTATATTAAAAGGATTTTTCACATTGTTGAAGTTAAACTGATATTTTAAGTGATTACAGAATTCTATGTTGTATCATAACAAAGGTTTTTGCGTGTTGCGGAGCATGTTGTAACCAGAAGGGTCTATGTATAACCCTCACTCTGACCCCTGCTGTTCAAACCATGTTGACATACAAGTGACAAGAGAAACATTTCTTTTCATTACTCTGATATATTAAGATGAACAACAGTTTCATTCGATTCCTTTAAAATATTTAGGATTGTGCTTTAAGGTAAAAGATGAGCATAAATATTTTGAATTCAGAAGTATGTATTGATCAGTCTATAAACAAAATAGACCCCAATAATTATTTCATAAGGAATTAATTTTTAGTGTAGAGTTAAAAAATATATATCTATAGAAGGCTCTAGGTGTGAAAGCATTTATATTTTCAATTTCACCAAAATGTAAAAGTTATTGGACTGTATTAATGAATAATCTTGCTAACAGTAAATTTAGTAATTTTTCAAATGTTCATTTAAATAAAAAATTTAAGCACGTTTTCTAAAATGATGTTGAGTGTTTTTATGGGGCTCATTTTTACAATTTAAATTAAGATCAGAAATCTATACTTTATTTTCAAGCTTAAAAAGAGTTTTCAATTATGAATCATAAAATTGATGGTTTTATATCATTTTTTACTGAGATATTTTGAGTAACCATTTTCTTAAATTACTGCTAGTCTTTCTGTACAGTTTATTATTTGTAATTTACATTGGCCTATCAATTTAGAAATTGTCAAGTTAACTTTTTTTGCTAGAAATTTGTTTATTTTGTTTTATTTATATATATTCTGGTGAGCTGGGAGCTGGAGAAAAAAGGAATGGGGAAGTACTTTAAAAATACACACTTTTTTTGCTTGCTATAATTGTGTCAATATCATTATGTTATTGGATAATTATAGGACTTGGAATCCAGTGACTATGCTTCATCTATTTCTCTGAGAAAGAATCTACTCAACAAGAAAAGGGTTTGCTATCTGCGGTGTAGCATGCAAATGTGTGTGATTTGTTTGAGTATAACTTTAAAAACTTTTTATTT